CCGACGCCAGCGGTTGCGGTATAGGTGCTGTTTTCCTCCAACGCGATAACTCTGGACGGGAAAGGGTCATCGCATATGCTAGCCGAGTGCTAACTTCTACCGAAAAAAACTATACCATCACTGAGCAGGAGTGCCTCGCTGTGGTTTGGTCCATACAAAAGTTCCGTCCTTATCTGTACGGCCGTCAATTCACCATCGTAACGGACCACCACACCTTATGCTGGCTTTCTACAATGAAGAACTTGTCCGGACGCTTGGGTCGTTGGATTTTACGCCTGCAGGAGTATCAGTTTGAGATTATTTATAAATCGGGCAAAAACATCAAGACGCCGACGCTCTTTCTCGTTGCCCACTACCTACAGCGTCGTTCGACACTCCAGCTGCCACCTCCAACGACATCAGTGCTGGACGTGACTCCCACTTCTGTTGCCTTGCTCGCCTCGCTGTACCAACCGCCAATCGACGATGAACAACCCTTCAGTTCTCACCAGCAGGCTGACCCGTATTGTCGGCGCATTATAGACCACCTTCAGGAGCTACGCGTCCACCCAATGCACGCCTTCGTCGACAACTCGAGCACTTCAAGTTTCAGGACGGTGTGCTGTATCGTCACATATATCATCCTGACGGCACACGCTGGGTAACCTGTTCTGCCACGCGCTCTTCAACATCATGTACTTAGCGCCTTTCATGACGATTTAACTGCTGGCCACCTAGGCTTTCAAAAAACCTACGACCGCATTCGAAGCCGCTTTTATTGGCCTGGGATTTCTACCAGCGTAGCAAAGTACGGGGTTCCTGCTCTCCATGCCAACTTCGCAAACTTCCGAACATCTCCCCAGCTGGTCAGTTACAGCCACTGACGTGCCCTACAACACCTTTCGAGGTCGTCGGTGTCGATCTTTATGGACCCCTTCCTGTTACTGGTGCTGGAAATAGATGGATAGTCACCCGCCGTAGACCATATGACACCTACGCCGAGACAACTTCAGTAGCTACTGGTTCAGCATCGGAAGTTGCTGACTTCGTCCTTCAGGCCATTATACTACGTCATGGTGCACCTCGTGTACTTCTGAGTGACCGTGGAAAGGTGTTCTTATCACAGCTTTAGGTGAAGTTCTTCGCGTTTCTGGTACCACACACAAGATGGCGTCTAGCTACCATCCTCAAACAATGGTCTGACCGAGAGATTTCATCGAACCCTTGCCGACATGATCGCCGTATACATTTAACCGGATCACAGAAACTGGGATAAACTTCTACCGTTCGTCACTTTCGCCTACAACACCGCTGTTCAGCGCACAACAGGCTACTCACCGTTTTATCTCGTTTACGGACGTTCACCTACTTTCTTTATCGATGTTTCCTTCTTCACAAGCAATGGCCCTACATCACCATCTTCTTGCGAAGAATATATTTCTCGCCTTGCCCAGTGCCGCCAGCGCGCTCGTATGAACACGGAAGCTACGCAACAAGCAAGGAAGGCCGTCTACGACACCTCTCATCGTGTGGTATCATTCCGACCGGGTGACGAGGTGCTGCTATTGACACCAATTCGCACACCTGGTCTCTGCGACAAGTTCCAGCCTCGATTCATGAAATAAGGGAAAGAGGCGTATACCTAAAGGCTCGTTTTTCTGTGTTTTAACACAATAATAATGAGGTTATTTTTTCATCCACTTTTCTTTCTTCTTATTTTACATTCCATTGGTTCTAATAACTTCCCCTGTACATTCCTTGGCATTACTGTCTGTTAGATCTCATATATATATATATATATATATATATATATATATATATATATATATATAATATATATATATATATATATATATATATATATATATAATATATATATATATAATATATATATATATAATATATATATATATATATATAATATATATATATATATATATATATAATATATATATATATAATATATATATATATATATATATATAATATATATATATATAATATATATATATATATATATATAATATATATATATATATATATATATATATATATATAATATATATATATATATATATATATATAATATATATATATATATATATAATATATATATATATATATATATATAATATATATATATATATATATAATATATATATATATATATAATATATATATATATATATATATATAATATATATATATATAATATATATATATATATATATATATAATATATATATATATATATAATATATATATATATAATATATATATATATAATATATATATATATAATATATATATATATATATAATATATATATATATATATATATATATATATATAATATATATATATATATATATATATATATATATATAATATATATATATATATATATATATATATATATATATATAATATATATATATATATATAATATATATATATATATATATATATATATATATATATATATATATATATATATATAATATATATATATATATAATATATATATATATATATATATATAATATATATATATATAATATATATATATATATATAATATATATATATATAATATATATATATATAATATATATATATATAATATATATATATATATATATATATATATATATATATATATAATATATATGGACAGATAGAGCGGCATCTGGGAACTTCGCATTGCAAATACTAAGAATCAGTGAGAAGCAGTTGAGCATTTCACACAAATGCACCGGCAGCGTCTCCTGAAATATAGTTTGACGCTAACGCCACGTATCTTTGGTTCTGATGTCCAGGACTTTACCAATGCATGCCGACATACTACTGAAGCATACCGATGTTTTAAATTGGCAGCAGCATCCATCGCTTTGCAGCTTGAAGTAGTCATAGTGGTGCCGGTCATATATTGGAGAGTTCAGGTTAGGCTTGCTGACGACTGTGGTCTAGTGGCTAAGGTACTCGGCTGCTGACCCGCAGGTCGCGGGATCAAATCCCGGCTGTGGCGGCTTGCGATTCCGATGGAGGCGGAAATGTTGTAGGCCCGTGTACTCAGATTTGGGTGCACGTTAAAGAACCCCAGGTGGTCAAAATTTCCGGAGCCCTCCATTACGGCGTCTCTCATTATCAAATCGTGGTTTTGAGACGTTAAACCCCACAAATCAATCAATCAATCATTGCTGACGACTGTACACACGAGAAGTGACACCCGCTGGGCATTGCGCAGCTTCCATAAAGAACCCATAGAAGGAGTAGCATGCGTGAATTGAATGCGGCACGGGCGCGACAAAAAAGCAAGACTGCAAAATAATATGACTTCCTCAATGTGCGCATATGTTGTGAAGCAACGCGACAAAAATCGCGAACTGTTTACCTGCCCTTTCGCTAGGATGCGATGGGTGTGTTTGTGAGGTGGAAGCTTCAGGAATGCGTCTTGAGGGCTTCTTTTTAGTGTTCATTCCTCCATGGTCCACATATTCTGGAGCTCTGTTCAAGGGTGTGATTGTGGCAACCAGCCCAACTTTCTATCCTGCTATTTTCAAAAATGATTATCTTCTAATTGCAATATTCGCTGGAAATTTTTTGACCACTTTTTTTAGGCTCTCTTCCCGCAATATTGTACATTCGTAACTTTGATTTTGCTATTTATGCTACATTCAAGTTATAACTTATCACATGACTGCCGCTTTTGCATGTTGATATAATTTCGCTTTTTGGCGCTTGTTTCATCATGAACTTATAACATGTGCTGTGCTGGTTTGCGCCGTTATGCAGTAGCAAATTCATTACACCGTAATAACGGGAAGCTGCTATTACTTCATCCGAACTCGAAGAGCAGTTCATGGTAGAACAAAGGGCCCGCGACAAAGCAGAGAGACTTCATGCTTGTGCCCCGACGTGGGAGTAGCCCGCAACGTGTTTAGTGAGAGCCATAAAAAACCATAATAAGTTTTTTTTTTCATCCATCCGTGCATTCATCACCCTTCCGACTATATAGCAGGAGTTCGCCTTGCCCACCATATAATATCCGTGCAATAGAACTCATCGGTTTGCCATATGATTCCGGCACAGTTAAAGTAAGTGGAAAGTTTTTTAGTTATGGCACGTCATGCTAACGCATCTTAAATACGGAAATCCTCATTTGACGTTTTTTTCCACCTATAATACAGTGGATTCCTAGAACCACTCGAAGAAATGTGGAGCATTTTTGAAGTTCAATTTCGGGCAACTCTCATGCCACACGTGTCGTAGTCAAACAGCAACGAGGAATCGTGCCCTTGCTTTTTGCGGCTTCCGCTTGATAAAAAAAAACATTGATTTGCTGGTATGATATACAGTATACTTGCTATGTGAGCTCATTGACGTGTCGTCATGGAACTTCTTGTGACAAAGGAGAAGAACAATGAAAGACCTCAATTCTATAAGGCATTTGTTCTTGTCTAAACGTTGTTGCGAATGATACGGGTCATTATCTCACTGATTGCAAGCACGTGAATGGGAGTGGTCTGATGCTTTATTACGTCTAGTACTCAGCCATCCATAGTAACGGCTGCCCTATACAAGTGAAAAAAAATGTTAGGCTGTACTGCGATAGTGTGCCATGTACCGCTGCAGATTGGCTGTTTGCTATGCAATTTACATTAACACCGCCCTAGCATATCTCCCGCTTTATGAAAAAAGGAACCAACACAATGCTAAATTGTGTGTATTAGTTATATCGTAATCGTATCTATTCAGCCCGCAAGAGCACCATGATTGAATTATACTTCTCTAATAGCCGGTAATAGAGCTCTGTTAACAAGAATAACAATATTACCACTATTAGATATTGCTGTCATTGATTTACATGCTCAAGAAACTAAATGTTTGTGAAGCATGCGGTAGCCGCAGATACCGCCATCAGTTTATCCCATGGGAATCTTTACAGAGAGCGTAAAACTGTACGAAGCGAAAATACACTATCGCATGCGTTTCTTCCATTTGTTCACTTTGTATTTGCAGATTGATAGGTCCATGAAGAGTATGATAATTGGAGCCGCTTACACCACCCGTGTTCCAGAAACCCGCCAGAGTTCATGGCAAAAAGCTGCTGGCATGTTCCAGGCTTGCGTTGCCCTTGTAAAATCAGGGCGCGGCCAGGTACGTGTTTAAAAATGTGAAAAGTAGGGCCGTTCCTTGAGAAATTGTAGTTTTTATAGACGCTTAGCATGAAGAAAGGATGGTGTAAACTTAAGGGCTTACCTTGAACAATGCTTTTCATAGATATTAGGTCTAGCTAGAAGGACACCAGTGGCTGGTGTTTTTGCAGTCGTCTCTGGGGTTAATGGCATCATCATCGCGCACGCGCACGCACACACACACACACACACACACACACACACACACGCACACGCACGCACGCACGCACACGCACACGCGCACACACACACACGCACGCACGCACGCACACGCACACACGAACGCGCGCGCGCGCGTTAAATTTGAAGGGCGCGGAAAGTGTGACTTTCAAATTGGTCGAACTGCAACATGCCTTGGCTGTCGCTAGGCGAATCAATGACTGAAGCTGGCGTCATCGTAGGACTATAAATTTTGATCCGGTTGAAACTTTCGCATCGTGTGTGTGTATCGAGTGCTAGAGTGGCTGCATACGGTAAACACCTGCGGAGCATGAGTGCAAGTTGGATTGGGAATCTAGCGCTACGTCGACGCCAGCTTATAGTACTAAGTCTTCATGTTACAGCCAAGAGATGCCGAAGTTCCACTGAGTCGAAAGTAACGCCTTCCGCAGATCGTGTTTCATTACATCGTGATAGTACGTACCTGATGAAGTAGCTTTTACAGCCTACTATGCGCATGCTGTAGATTTTTCAGAGTGTCGAGTAGGGTTCCGGACCTTTTACTCGAAAGCGCACAAAATTGTAGGACGGGAAAAGTGCGAAACCATCTTCCAACCGGACTCGGGTTACGAAGCGTTGCGATAGATGTGGAAAGCGTCTGATAGCATGGCAGTGCCAGGTGTCGCTTCGCCACGCTTCCAACAGATGGCGCGACACGCAATCTCAGGTATCCAAAGGGAATGGCTAAGTGGCTGGGCTGAGACGAAGAACTTGCTGACGGAACTACAAAATAGCTTTCGTTCGGGTCGTAGATTGGAGGATAATATTTTCACTCTGACCCAGTGTGCTAAAATAGCGAAGCTTGAAGGGCGATCTCTGCTGTGCTGTTTTCTGGATGTACAGAAAGCTTACGATAGTGTCCCGCAGGCAGCATTGCTTGATTGCATGAACCACTTCGGCCTTCCAGAGATCCTCATCTCGACCGTGAGACGTATATACAGAGGCAACACTGTAGTGGCACACTTCGGGGATGTTGAGTCAGACCCCGTTGTAGTAGTGAAAGGCCTGTGTCAGGGTTGCCCACTTTTACCATTACTGTATATTTTTACGTCTCAAGCCTCGAGAGGAAGCTTCTTAGCTCCAGCCTTGGTTTTCGGCTCCACCCCACGACCAGCGGTATCGACGAGAGGCGTCGTCTACCGGGCTTAACGTTCGCAGACGACATCGTGATCATGGCAGAAAGCACCGAGGAAATGCAGGCACTGCTGGACATCTGCCAGGATGACATCATCCTGCCCTCTGCTTTAACGTTAAGAAGACAGCCCTTCTCAGATTTGTGGGGGAGTGCACCAAGGAGAGTGTTGTGACCCTGGGAGATGCCGAAGTCAGCAGCTGCACCGAATACAGGTACCTGAGTGTAAAATTGTCAACATTAACGGACATGTACAGCCTACATGAGGCGAAGACGCGTGAAGCTGGACTGTGGGCTCAGAGCATCCTCCGGTGCCGCTGTTTGTGGGGCTGCAACCGGTATTTAATGGTACGTGACCTTTGGAAGCTCGTCCACGTGCCTGGGCTGACATTTGTGAACGCAGTCGTGATTATGTCAGCGGCCACCCGGGAATGGTTCGAGCGGTGACAGCGGGAAGTAGGACGCATCGCTCTGGGCTGTCATGGCATGGTGTAGAACGAGGCGGTCCAGGGAGACATCGACTGGTCGAGCTTCGAAGCGCGTGAGGCGGCCAGCAAACTGACGTTCCACTGCCACCTGATGTACATGGCCCGCGAGAGGTGGTCTCGACGAGTTTTTGACTACCTCATGGCGACATGTATGCGCACCAAGTGGGTACGACGAGTGTACCAACTTGAGAAAAACTTTGGGTTTTTCCAGGCGCCACTGGCGGCCGAAAACCAACGGGGGCGCACTAAGGAAATTCACCAACGTATTAAGGAGGCCGAGGAGGAGAAGTGGAGGCAGGCACAAGTGAACAAGTCAAGTCTCCTCCTCTACCGCCAGCACAAGGACACCATTGCTCCAGTCCCACTGTACGAAAATGGCCTTGGAAATGTGCTATTGTTTGAGGCGAGAGCAGGGGCCCTGCGTACTCTCGTCCGTAAGCAAGCCTACGACGGTGAACTCGTGAGTGTGGTGTGTCGCGCGTGTGGTGGGGCTGACGAGACCATCGCACACATCGTGACTGAGTGCCCGCAACTGAGCCCATCCAGTTCGAACACAGATCTCGCTGCCGCACGGGGTTTTGTGGACACAGGTGATGTGGTGGACTACGCCGCAGTGAGGCGCAGCAAAACTCGCCTAAAACAATGGAGGAAAATAACTTTCCGGGAACTTCGGGAGGGTTCTTACCTCGGCAACCCGCCCAGTCTGTATTTTAATTTCTTATTTTCTTTGTATTTTTTTACTATCGGCTTGGGTGCCAAAGTGTGCCCGCCCGTTACAAAGGGAATGGCTTCATTATCATCATCGTCATAACATAAGGCAGCCCACACTGAGGTCACTGTGTTCTGTTTTATGTGACTAGGAGAAAATAAAAACTAACTATACGGCATTGGTCTCGCGAGTGGTCTTCATGAGCTGTGTTATGGGTTATATCGTTCTCAGCGTCGTACCCAAGCATGTGCTTCATTGGCTGCGTTATGGGTGTCGTTTTTCATCCCGTCGCAGCCATGGAGCCTTGCACGCACGCATCAGTTTCTTCTGAAGCGTTCGACATGGGCAAGCGAGGGACGACTCTAGCAGAGCGCCAACAGTCTAAAGATGACCGAGTTCGCAATCACCGGCCGATGCCACAGTCCGGAAACAAAAACAGGCCCGGGAGGCCGAGTGCCGATCGCAGCAGCGAACCAATTATTCTGCTGCCTTCCAAGCCCCGCTAAATTCTGAACGGCAATGCAAGCGCCGGTGGCGGGTGGATCCTGCAAGCAACGGCACCTTGTTAGCTCGCCGTGTCAAAAGTTTGCAACAACGCCACGCCGAACAAGTGGCTGTGTGGGCTAAACAGCGCCAACGCGATAATTGCGCGTTCGCCCGGCGAACGACGGCTTTCGGTGGTAATTTCTCCAGCGGCACTTTGCCTTCGGCGGCCACGTCTGTGGTTTGGAGAACAACCACTGCGATTAATGCATTTAGCCAATTATTACACGAACGCGTTCATGTGAGGCACAACGTGCGACGTGTGAAATAAACACAAACTCAACGTGTGTCTAACCCCATTAAGGGCCCCGCCACGGTGGTCTAGTAGCTAAGGTATTCGGCTGCTGACCCGCAGGTCGCGGGATCAAATCCCGGCTGTGGCGGCTGCATTTCCGATGGAGGCGGAAATGTTGTAGGCCGGTGTACTCAGATTTGGGTGCACGTTAAAGAACCCCAGGTGGTCTAAATTTCCGGAGCCTTCCACTACGGCGTCTCTCATAATCATATAGTGGTTTTGGGACGCTAAACCCCAGAAATTAATCAATAAATCCCATTAAGGGGCACTAACAGTAACGAATTGTTGTGTAAAGCTTCAATGCAGCATCGGATTGAGACCACTGCTACACACCGGAGCCGCACTTTTCAGGTTTCGCTGGTTCACCCTTAGTACGGAGGGCATGGGCAATCCATTTGCTTCGCCAATTCTTGCATTGTGCATGCGTTGCCTGATCAAAATTTCCTGTCACAAACCTGTTCTTACAAATATTTTCCCAAGTCAATGCACTTAAGATAAGAGCACTATGCACAAGAGAAGCGACAATGTTTTTTTATCTTCCTGTTTTCGAGTAATGCGTGACAGAATAGCAAGACGCGTGACAAGTATGGAGTATAAGATATCATTTATTATATCTATTTGTGAATGTAATTTTCTCGCAGAGGGATGACCTTCTGAATTGGTTGGCTTCTGTACATCTGGACCTGAGAGATTGGACAGCACTGAACACCGTCGATCCAAAGGACATGATAGTGCGGTGTTCCCTTGACTTTGGTGTACACGTGATCATTGCTATAAAACTATACGATGAAGTTTTTGCCAGAAAGAAACGGCAGATTTATGTAAGTAATCGATACATTTATTGTAAGAGCAATGTGTTGTCAGTTGCTTGCATTGGTTGTGGTGGTCACAGTGTTTATTATGGGTGCGGATGACGTGTACTTCTGGCAGAAAAAAAACAGTGACCTGCACCGCAAATGCACATTTCCTGTCTGGTACGGTAAGGCAATTCTGATCAAATGGGTAACTTTATAGCCTTTTTGAACTTCGACAAGAAGGAACATTTAAATACAGGTTGTAACATAAAGTATCATTATAGTTGTCTCAAAATTTTCGCTCCACGCAAATATTTGCTGTACGTTGCGCTCCACAAAAATTACATGTGGCTAATCACACAAGTCAGTTGTTAATAATCATTCTACGAATTAATAAATGACATTACAAAAACACCTAAAATATGTGAAAGCTCAGGATACAAATGAAAGCATTTTTGCAAAAAGAGTGACCATGAACGGTTGTGCCAGTTCGAGAAACCTGTGTTGGTTTGACGACTAGAAACTTGATGACCGTTTACTTCGTGATGTCAGTTCACATAAATACCACCAGATGGTTAAAAGTTTTTAGCAGCCTCCTTCACGGCGTCTCTAATGCCTCATAATTGTTAATTATATTTTTACTAATATTACTGAGAACTGGTATCATTGATAAAAACTGAGATCACACAGGGAGGACGCCTAATAAAAGTGTGCCAGATAAGAATTAAAATGGCTATTTGAGAACGTCCACACATGCGCCATACAGTGTGTTGGTCGAGAAATCTCGTTAACGAAAGCGAGAATTGAAACTAAAAAAAAATCCCTCGTTCCGCTTGAGGTAATATTAATTAATATGTACACTATGCCAGTGTTGCTATAACGAGACAATTTTGTATGAATAATGTAAGTGACATGTGGTAACATAGAAGTCATGATCTCCCTATCATGAACGGGATGACTTGATTTCTATGGTCATGGTGTACACAAAATGGCTACGCTACCTGGCTTGATATATTAAGTGATATGCGAGATTCAACGTCCCAAAACCATCACATGATTATGAGAGACGCCGTTGTAGAGGGCTCCGGAAACTTCGACCACCTGGTGTTTCTTAAAGTGCACCTGAATCTGGCACATCAGCCTACAGCATTTTCGCCTCCATCAAAACTGCAGCCACCGCAGCCGAGATTCCATACGTCGTGGAACCACGGTGCGCATTTGGTTCTACAGTGGTGTCGACTTTCAAGGTAAACACAGCTCCACCGGGCAGCTCTCTGCCGACTGCTAGTGCAGTCAGCATAGTCGCGTATCGAATCTAAGCGGCGCAGGTGCACACAGACACGTCGCTTTTGCTGTACTACAGACAAGCAAGATCAGCGCTTTGCTACTTCAGAAGAGCGTGCTACAGTGATGCAGCAGACGACATAAAGCTTATCTCACGTGTCCGTGTGCGCATGCGTCCCTACGCTGCGATGCGCCGCCAAGAAGACACAGTGGCGCTGCGGGGAGTGCGGTCACAATAAGCGGTGTTACCTTTTACAGTGGACTTATCTGCACCCGTGTGTGCTTCCTCTGCTTTCTCCGCAGCGCTGCACTAACACACGCCGTTTTCAGGCGTGGGATAGAGGTCTGTTATGGGACCCACAGCATGCATAACCGCCATCCGCTTGTCAGCATTACAACGAGAATTTGATGAGATTATGACCGTATATGTTACAACCGACATAAAGAAAACGATGACCTAGCTTCTGAGTTTCATTATTCTCATCGTCAAGACACTTGGGGTTTATTGAGTACAATGTGACATCTACAAGCTGTTCCTGTCCTAGTTCCGAGTATATCTCTCTGTTCACATCCTTTCATGTATTATTAGGGGCGGTCATGTTACGCACTGGCCCAAGCATGTCATTTAGGCCACGCTTTATCGTAATTTTTTTTAGAATTTGTCGACATTGTTTTGCTGGGGAATGTGCAGAGTTTTGAAAATGCTACGTCACAAGTAGAATTTCTAGCCTACAGCCGGCACCCACGACAAAATCCCGCAACTTGCTGTAGTCGGAGCCCAAATTATTTCGAGCATGGTAAAATTTGTTGCCAGTTTCCAATGAAGCTGAAACTTGTTCTCTACTTTATCAACATTACTTCTATTCATATACATATGAAACACTAATTTTGTTTGTTTTCGCTTAAACATTCCCCTGATTGTGTCAGAGAAATAAGCAGTGGTTTAACGGCCAATAATCCTGATCTGTATTCGCCTTTAAGAAGTAATGAAACGATAAAAAATTGAACGGAAACCACGCAAATAATTGTGTTTATTTGTACAATGAATATTCTGACTTGAGAGTATACGCCCAGTGTTGTAATAAGAACATTTTTTTATCTTCTGCTTTAGTTATACACTTGTGGTATATAGCAACCGAATATCAAGTCATGCATTTCTACATTTCATAGAGAAAGTGCACCTTATTGTCTTTGAGAAAAAAGGGACAACGTTATGTCTCTGAATTGGCAGGAAATCGTGATTAATATTTGCGATATAAATACTAGACACTTTCATGGGAGAAGCACCGTGTTAACACCTGAAAAGTTCAACAAAACACAAAGCAGAAAGTTATGACCTGGCTTCTGCGGAACTTGGCAGGCATAACAGGTGTTGATTGTCTGCAAAGCAGTGTATATATATGTTAACTGCTTCAAAATGTAAACCATGTACGCTGGTGCTGGACCAAGATTGCTCTTCTGAGTATTACAACCAAGTCTTTAGAAAGTTTTCGCAAGGATGCATTAGTGGCTATTGCATCGAATTTATCCCTGTGTGGCCATTTTGGCGGAGCAAGCTCAAATGAAGAAGCTGTGCGCAGATGGATGCAGTAACCATGTGACTAAGACTTCCTTCACGCTGTGAACTGTTAAGGCACCAGGAAGCTGTCAAAGGAAATATTATAAACTGTTTTTTTGCAGATGGCTTACAGCGAAAGTGATGAACAGTGGTGGATAACAACGAGAAGCCTTCCCCAAAATGAGCTATTTGAGTTATACATACACTTCCTGAATTTGTACGGCTTCCATGATGAGATCGCTGTCAATCTTGCTGAATATATCAGCCTAATCGAGAGAACAAGTGAGTAATATATATTCTCTCACAGAAAGTATTCCAATTGATTGACTGAAAATATTATTTACAGATAACTGTGAGCAATAGATTGTCAAAGACCAAATAAGTATCAGACGGTGCTATGTACGATAGATGGGGCTTTATTTATTGGAATTTGCAATGATCTAATCTACGGTCCCTATTTTTCAACAATCCGATAATGCTTATTAAAAGGGCATATCTACTGATCAGCGCGCAGTGCCATTCACTGATTACTGTACATGGTGCCCCTTAAATGTGGTCGACAAAGTTGGATGCTGCCTTAGAACCAGCCCCATCTTCGTTTATTCATTTGTAGTTAGAATGCGTGCAGAAGCGGACACATGCAAAAAGAGTGCCAGAAATTGTTACTAATAATATTCTTTGAAGATAATTAAGAGCTGTTCTAGTGTATTTTAAGAGCTTAATAACTGCAGTAAATAAAGCTCTGAATAATTCTTGTGTGTCCTGCGAGAATTGATCCTGCCGAGTGGTTTTTAACGCCACGTGGCAAGAGCTCATCACCAAGGTGACGTGTATGATCACAAAAGTCAATTTCTACCTACTAGCACGTTGCTCGAAGGCTTCCCTCCCTCCTGTTTCAGTTCGTGGTCTGTTCGCTCCCAAATACGTGCGCTTTGCTGATAAGCTAATTATCTGTGTGGTGGACCAAGATAATTGCGTTAAAGCATGCGATGACAAAGCTAGTAGAGCCGTGTTTATCGAAGACTACACTTACTGCGGCTGTGTCACGTGAAACCACGGTAATTACGAGTCCACTAAATAAAATTATACTAATAACATTAGCCATACAACTTCATGAAGGAAGACGTTCTGTAAAAAGTTAGTTTCTAGAAAAGCCAGAAATCAAATTACTGCTAATCCCTGCCCTGTCTCTTATCTGGTAGACATGGGCTGCCAGTCATGTAATTTGTTTTGCTATTGCATATTTGCACAGCATATTTTTTTTTCCGTGGTTACCAATACAAGTGTTTCGCGTTGAATGTTATCCACGTCATCCCGCTGCTGTTCGGACATCGTAAACAACGAATTTCTCAACGGTGAAGTGTACCTCACAAGCTCGCGCACACAAAAAATAAACTTTCTCCGCAATAATTAAGAGACCACATGCATGCTGCTGCCATCAAGCAAGCACCCCGGTGACATTTGCGACAAGAATAGTCAGTGTTTACTTGTTTCTGGTGCCACAGTTTTAGTAATTTGTTACAGCAGAAGACTGACCATTTAGGTAAAAGTGACATGGCTGTACACTTGCCAGTTAGATGTATAAGAATAACAATAACCTCCCAAATGTGCTGCATGTGCATGCTCACTCGGCTCTCGAAGACAAATTTACTAGCGGCAAGAACACGCGCGAAATTCTGCGTGCGGCACGTGCGTAAAAAATGAGTTTTCTTCATTGGAGCACGGATGAAGATTATCATATTCACCATCTCTACGTTTGAGTTTGGCGACAACGCGCGCGTTATACGAAGTCCAAACAGCGCAAATCATTCAAGCATCCACTGTGGACAAAACCGTGGTCACTAAAGACACGTCGTAGCATCCATGCTGTTAAAAAGACGTGCGTGCAACCTACGGCAAAAGTTGACTTTGGACGGCTGAGCATCGCATATGCCATTAAAGATGCTCTGCTCGCAAAAGCAGTCACGATTAATGACGACGCTATTCTGAAGGCCCCCATTTCAATAAGCTGCCTTGGCTGCTTTGCGCGTCACACGTACGGCACTTCGTGCTCGTTGCACTCCGAGGTTTGTCCGAGTTAGGTGAGTTACAGCCAAAAACGACCGCATTAGCGACAGTTCGGTGTCATTAGACAGCGTATGTTCTTCCCAGTACAACAGAACACATCCGAATCATGCGATGTTTGGACGATGAATTGACAGATGTTTACTGTAGTAAGATAAGAAATGACACAAATATATTGAATAATGCACCAATTTTATCGATGCATTCTTAACTATTTGAACTATGACACGAATGTCTTCTGTTTAAAAGGAAATGTGTTTCTTGTATATTGTAGTTGACAGCATCGCCCTCAGCAATAGTGCCACCTATTCCCCGGTTGTGGTTGGATCAATACAAGACATGGGGCAGCTGACAGCTCCGTACATAACCGGAGGTACGTGCAAATCTCTCAGCACCTACTTTGAAAACATCCAGAGCTAGTGACCAGGAACGTAAGGGTGACGACAACACATTGCGCATTGTCTTTTCGTCTCCCATACTTCCTTGTTTCTTAGCCCTCAATATGTTTTTTTACGTTTCCGTTTACCGACATGCCCCGAAAAATAGCAATGCTGATTTCTTACAACTCCTACGTGTAATTGAAACTCGCGCCACGTTTGGTGGGTGGCATCTGCAAACGCTTAAAAATCACAATCGACGACGAGAAATTGAACCTTTACTGTCGATGAAGTCGGTGCTCTAGGCTGAGCGATGCAAAGTCTACAGAGCATGACTGGAACTCAGACGTTTATACACGAGCGTGTTATTCTGTTGAAGCGCATTAAAAAATAGAAACAGCTGCATACCTGATTTTGGCAACAGAGAGAACTCGTGACGCAAGTTCTTGCGTGTTTTGTCTTTTCGTGAGTACCACTGGTTTTCATAGCAACTGCCATACTGTACGCTTGTCTTCTTGCGGCTTTCAGTGGAATGGGCCTCCGCTTTTGCCAAACACACCAACAATTCCTACCTGGGTGGCGACTCGATTATGTACACAGCGCACCCACTCTACACTGTCGCGGGACTGTTCGCAACTGTAGACGCAGGAGGGATTCGCTTCCTGATTGCATGGAGCCTGTTCAGACAGCTGGTGCCGTTTGCGAATCCGACGTTCTTTCTGAACGACGATGCTTTAACCGACACTTGCTACACGGACGTGCAAAAAGTCATGAAGCTCGCATTTGCGGCCCCTTACTTGCATCACGGTAGGTGTGCTCCTTTGTTCTGCTGCTTTCGAGACGTGATTATGTAAACTCGTATATGAGAAACTAAGAAGAATGACACGATAGAAAGAACTACAGAATCACTAAAAACTTTTTATTTAAAAAATTTAGGTCTTCAATATAATTGTGCTGTCACGCAAGAGCAACAACTAAAAGAAATACCAAAGCAGGACATGTTTATTTCTTATGAGCAACCACCATAAGAAAGCAATTACTCTGACTACTTTCCAGCATATCGGAAAGTGTCAGACTGACTGTGAAGGCGGGGTCATTAGTGGCAATGTTTCGTGTTAATTGTCATACCTCAGTATTGTGGACAAGCGCCCTCAACACAATGTAATACCTTTTAATCGGCAGTTCTGTCAACAACACATTAGCTCTCCTACCGGCCATCCTATTCTCCTCTGGCAGTAGCGGTTTTGTTCGTTCTTATTGTACCCCTAAACCCTAAACTTCTTGCGGTTTATATATATATATATATATATATATATATATATATATATATATATATATATATATATATATATATATATAGTTTAATTACACCTTATGCGTGTTTCGTATTACTCGAGGAAAGATGATGCAATATTAAGGCAACCGTGATTGCGCAAGCGGATATTCTCATGTCGGCAGCAACAGGATAGAGGTTGAATAGATAAATATGCGATACATTGCACGTTCACTCCATCTGCGCATTAGTAATGCTTTCATATCCATTCGTGATTGCGTAATTTCGGCAGCCCTTGCAATGTGCCACATTTTGTTCCCCCATCTTTCACTTCTCTGTATTACTACTGATGCCTGGTCAATTTAAATATTAGGAGCCAGTAGCATTGCATTTCTTACAATTTCACCATGCAGATGCTTGAATACTAACTGCCCCAAGCTGGGTGTTTTAGAGGCTACACGTACACAAAGCTTGTGATTTGCGTGAGTTTGTCACAGAATAAACGCTTCATTCTCTTGCTGACGAAAAAAACGCTGGAGTGAGTCAGACGCATCCCACAAATACATAGACGAACAAATTTTTTGAAAAGCTAAAGTAAGACTGGCCCCGCCACGGTGGTCTAGTGGCTTCGGTACTCGGCTGCTGACCCGCCGGTCACAGGATCAAATCCTGGCTGCGGCGGCTGCGTTTCTCGGAAATTATGTAGGCTCGTGTGCTCAGATTTGGGTGCACGTTGTTGCGATCGGCGAGCCTGCCTGGGCCGCGGATGCCGAGATGGAAGAAAGACAGCCGCCGATAAGAAGGAACGCGAAGACTCCCGGCTACTTTTCATAATTGGGTAGATGCGTGGTTGTAATTACTGCACGCAGCACTGCTGTCTCTTCACTCTTGGAAAAAAGTTAGTAAAATGGTAGCAACTGCAAGCAAACAGGTAGTAACTGCAGCGCTTACAACATTTCTCGAACCATTACTACCCTTTTGCAACATGTTTACTACCTACGAGAGTAAGCAGTTACTAGCTGCAGCCGTTACTAACTCCTTGCGACCTGTTTACTACCTATGTTAGTGAACAGTTAGTAACTGGGTGATTCCACGAGAGATCGACACGGGCCCAAAAGTTGATATTTTATAGTTCATCGAGTATTTTATATTTCATGCACCTCTCACCAGGTAGCCCGAAAGTCAACATTGTTTCATGATTAACGGCATAACTTACGAGAAAAAAAATATCAAACTTCACTAACACGGAGGCACCTATTTCGTCACCTGTCATTTTCGAAAATTGCAGATGCTATAAAAAGAAAAATATTTTTGTTTCAAGAAAGATATTTTTTACCTGAAATTCATGTCTAAGAACGAATGAATTCGTACGGTTTCAAGTTTGTTGACCTGAAGAAAATAGCTTTTAAAAATGTCTACTTTTGCGACAGTTTAAAAGAAGTTACGTATTCCCCAATGTTTTTCTCCGAAAGTAATGCAAGCAGCGTTTTAAAACTTGACACGTTTTAAAGATATAGTGTGTTCATTAGGCACATAAATTATTGTTGCCGCAGGGCAAATGTAAATTTTTATATATTGCCTCAAATTTCTCATATTGGCAAAAGTGTACTCCACTGAAATGTGAATAATAAAAAACCACATCTTCGATTTTTCTTAAAATCTTGTAAGTAGACAACCGAAGGCCATCATACAGTAATATAGAAAAACATGTTGCATTATTTTGCTTTTAGCGACAATATTCGTGGTACAAATCAGAGCTTTTCGAGAATGCGCTGATAAGTTGAGAAATCTAGAAATCGGAACGGAAAAGCGGCAATAAGCTTCAAACGCGAGTAAACGTTACAGTACACCTCATGGTGGCTCTGTCCTACTAGCTGGTTCGCAGGCAACTCGCCAGAGCAGCGCATCGTGTGAAATGTATGCGCGTATAGAGTAAGGGTAGGCGTGCCACCTGCGCAGCGCTCGCTTCCCATTGAAATATCGAGTGGTGGATTCAAAGTGCCATACACAATTATTAGACGAGTGTGGCGCCAGATTCTGGAAGGCTGGTACACTGTCCGACGTATGCTCGACGCGGACCCGCGGAAAATCCGTTTTAGGCCAGAATATGGTTCCCAAATTGTTTTCGAAAATTCTGTTCGAGGCTAGATTGCAATTCTGACTAAAACACAATCACTGCAACAAAAAAAAGCATCACATTAGAAAAAATAACTGTGAGTTGGCGAAGCTAAAAATCAGCCCGTTGATGTATACATATAGACTGCAAGGTGATTCACACACGATACCGATTCACAACACTTCAAAAACAAAAAAAATGTGTTTTTTCCTTACTTTGCCTAAAGCTCAATTTCGACGGCGTATACTTTAATCACCTTGTTTGGAAATACAGATTTGGGTCTCTCAGTACTCGCGACACCCTCTCAGTGTTTCGGATCACAACGCACATCTGGCAGAATTGAATACCAGACCAGCGCTACATACAATTGATTGATATGTGGGGTTTAACGTCTGAAAACCACCATATGATTATGAGAGACGCCGTAGTGGAGGGCTCCGGAAATTTCGACCTTCTGGCGTTCTTTAACGTGCACCCAAATCAGAGCACACGGGCCTACAACATTTCCGCCTCCATCGGAATTGCAGCCGCCACTGCCGGGATTTGAACCCATGACATGCGGATCAGCAGCCAAGTACTTTACCCACTGGACCACCGCGGTGGGGCAGCACTACAGACAAAGACTGACGAAAATATTACACAGAGATTTGTGTGTTAATGTCGTCATTCTTAGACTGCAGTGCTGTTTTTATATTAAATGGTGTCTTATCAACTTCGCCAAGTTGCGACTTTTCATAGTCAGCTATCGAGTTTTGTCGAAAAACTTGTATTCGACATCCAACAAAACTTCCATGCGCACTGGTTCGGGCATACTAGGGTGAGATAATAATAATAATAATAATAATAATAATAATAATAATAATAATAATAATAATAATAATAATAATAATAATAATAATAGGTGTTAGTCTTTAACGACCGAAAACCACCATATGGCTATTAGAGATATCACCATTTCAACCTCCTGCGATTCTTTGAAGTGCACCTAAATCTGCGCACACGGGCCTGAACCATTCTCGCCGCCATTGATAATGCGGCCGCCACGCCTGGGATTCTATCCCGCGACCTGTAGGTCAGCAGCCGAATGCCTTTGCCGCGGCTCTACCAGAAGTGAGATACGCCTTTGGAAACTGTCAACAAAGGCGTTCCATATTTCGGCCTCCTAATGAAATGGAACTGTTATACACATTAACAGAAGGAACAAACGCATTTGTTCCAAACAGCCCTCTTGATTTAGGCCTCCCATTGGCCAGCAATCTTTTAAAACGTCGAAAAGAGGGCACCTAGGGAACCGGCAATTCACAGCTCTGCTTGTATACCATTTTGAGCAACGCGTATATCTGCAATATTTGAGTAAACCGTTTATCGTCATGTCGGCTTTCCAGAGGATGTGTATTTCAAACAAGTCCGAAGGGTGTGTCATGAAATTTTTTAGCCACAGGTTCGAAGAGCGCGTGGTTCGTTAACTAAATCATTCGCAGAAGGTGTCGTGATGTTATATCCAGTGTGTATCCAAGAAACCCTTTCTAATTGATTCATAGTAGTAATCTGTATAACAAAGCAAAACATATCTTTAGAGTTGTAGTTCATAGTTTATTGTGCATTTGTGTATGAGAACTTTTACAATGTATATTTGTGTTTGGCTGCTATACAACCGTTTGACGGTAATGCAACCATGTTGACGCCTACAGTGGTACATCTCCATCCCGAAAGCTAATGCTCTGTGTATTATTTATTACTTGTGATAGCTGAAGTCGTTAACATAAGCCTGGGTACAGCTTACCGTGAGCCTCGTGTAAAGCCGTAAATCCGGAGATAAAAAAATTGACAGATTCCACGTACAGTGCGAATCGATGATATGCGAAGTGCAAATGAAAATGGTTGATATGTCACTTTAAAATCAGCACAACGTTACGAGGCAGATGTATATAGGCCTTACATGGCTTCCATGTCATGATGATAATATTTGGACGTGTCATTTACTTTGGTCATCTATTGCCATCACCTGAATATATATTTGCTATAAGTGGAGTTAGCGAAACGGCCGCTACCGTGCTATGAGCGTAGCATGTAGTCATGCTTTACATCACACGCATAGCATGATTATTATGTTTGGACGTGTCATTTACGATCGTCGTCTATTCCCGTCGCGTGATAGCAAATTGGGCATATGTGAAGCTAACAAAAAGCCCGCCAGCGCATCATAAGAGTGGCATGTAGTTATGTTTTTACATGACCCACATGTCATGATTTTCATGTTAATGTCTGTCCCTTGTAATTGCCATGAAGCATGTCATACCATACCAGTTTTGCAACATGTCATGTGAACGAAACCACCACAAGAGCAGCAAGACCATGAAATGCAAATCATGGCATTCACGACATACATATCGTCATTTTCATGGTATGACTAGTGACTTCAGCTCTTTACACAGTCATGTAATAGCATACAAAACTTGGTATTGATATCATGGCCAGGAGAACTATATGTCGTAGGCGGCTAGATAGATAGATAGATAGATAGATAGATAGATAGATAGATAGATAGATAGATAGATAGATAGATAGATAGATAGATAGATAGATAGATAGATAGATAGATAGATAGATAGATAGATAGATAGATACGCTCAAAGTCACCGAAGTTCGCCAATAAATTCTTTGCAATAAAAAAAAACTCAGTTTCACCGTAAGTGCAACGGAAGTTTTAATTCGAAGTTGATGCCAAGATCGACAAGGAGCTACAAAATTGCTGCGCTGCTGTTCCGCCACTAAAGATGCTGCTGAAGAACACCACAGGACGATTGCAAACGAACAACTGTCAAAGCTGGGCGCTTAATGAACGCTGTATAAATCGAGGTATACGTACGAAATGAACACAAAAGTGTAGAGATTAGCACGGACTGAAAATTGTCCCAGGTTTTACCTTTATATGTTTGATTAGGGCTTTGCTTTTGCAAAGCCCTCTGCTTTGCTTTTGCAACTATGAAGTGCGCGTTGATGGCGTTTACACGCAAACCAATGACGCCATACCCTGTTTACATCAATGGGCAGAGTCAAATATGCACGGACGCATCGTTTCCTGGGCATAATAATCGACAGAAGTCTTTCGTGGAGGCCACATTGTGCGTACTTGAAGAAGAAACTGCTATCTATTGTGCATATAATGAAATTCATGTGCGGGAAAGCATGGGGAACTTCTGTGGCCTCCATGCTACAGCTGTACAGGGCCCTATTTCTGGGTCTATTGCGCTACAGCTTGCCGGTACTGACTAACACTTGCAAATCCAATACTTATTCATTGGAGAGTTTGCAGGGTCAGGCACTGCGTATCTGCCTCGGACTGCCCCGATGCGCTCTACTCATGCCACAATCATGCTTGCCAAAGACCATCCGGTCAAGACAAATAGAGTTGTGGATTGCCTCAGAGCGCACATTCGACATGCTAGCCGTGTCCCTGACCACCACTTCGCCCTTCTACCCTCCGGAAGACGACGTGCTTCGTTTTCAGACGTCATAGCCAAGCACCTAAACAGCATTCCATCAGGATATACACCAGCTGCGAGAATGGCATGTCCTTTATGGTGCCTCGACCAGCCGCAAATACGTCTAGAAATTCCGGGTATCAAAAAGAAAAGCAATCACTCCAGAGTAGCATTGAAGCAAGGAACAGTGCTATTATTACATGAGTTGTACTTGGACCGAACGCCGATATACACTGATGGGTCCGTCTTGTCCAGCAGCTCATCAGGTGCCGCTGTAATTCCGGCTGCAGCAATGACAATCAAGTTTAAGTTGTCGCATATGACTAGACCTACGGCATCAGAGCTTGCTGCTATAAGGGCTGCTTTACAATATCTCGTTCAAGAACGTCCAGGAAAATGGGTCATATTCTGTGATTCGAAGGCAGCGCTTCAGAGTTTGCAGTCTACCATGCGTAGGAGGAGTCATGAACAATTGGTACAAGAAATAAGACATTGCCATCATGAAGCTCTAGCACGAGGGCATGATATTATATATCAGTGGCTGCCTGGACATATCGATATTACCGGAAATCAATTAGCCGATGATGCAGCCCGCTCAGCCCATGAAGAAACCCGTGTAGTCCCGATTCCTCTATCAAGGAATGATGCAGCAAGACTTTACCTGCTGGCTCGAGATCTCACACGCACGTTCTGGTCGTCTACTAGCTTCCAAAGGTGTCAATTTTATGAACTGGATCCTTCGCTCAAGATAAAGCTACCATCACAATTTTCCCGCTCCGATGCGACACTGTTATGCCGCCTTTGGTTGGGTGTTGCATTTACAAAGGTGTACTCCTTTCGCATTGGTATGGCAGACACTCCTACATGCAACTACTGCGGAGCTGAAGAGACCATCGAACACGTCCTGTGCAGCTGCGCTTGCTACGACACACAGCGATGCCAGCTCCGGATGGTTTTGAATCAACTTGACCCCGGACCATTTTGTGTGCAGAAGATACTAGGACCTTGGGCATCTGCCTCAGTTGCGCAGAAAGCGACTAAAGCACTGCTACTTCACTTAAAGTCAACAAACCTGAGCGACCGCCTGTAGACTGTGTGTGCTCCCCGAGTGTGCTCGTGATTGTGTGTACCTTCTCATCTCTCTGCAACCTCTTTTCTCCCCTTCATCCATTCCCCAGTGCAGGGTAGCAAACCGGATGTGCGTCTGGTTAACCTCCCTGCCTTTCCTTGCATCTTTATCTCTCTCTCTCTCTTGCTTTTGCAAATGTTGGTGCTGTAGCAAACAAGGAGACCTTCGTGTGCTTTATACCTTCAACTGAAGCATTCTCGTTAAAAGCACAAGATGTAGAAACCATCCCCATTCCGAGATAAGCACATGCTTCCTTTCAAAGCACTTCCCTGTAATATATAAGCGTCCAAATCATAGGCCACTAACTTTACACAGTTGTCATAGACTGTGGTCTTCAACTCTGCTAACAGCTTTCTGGGTCTGCCAGCCTGACATTTCCGAGAGGCTCTAGACAAGAGGAAAAATTAGGTGTGAAGACAGTGAAAGGCGTAATGAGCATAGAGCTCGCTAAGCTTACGGTGGTGTAATGCCAGCTCGCTCGTCTATGTAGACTGGTCGTCACATGCAATAAAGCACAATTCAAAACTTTTAAATGAAAATAATTGATGTAGTGTAGAGATGACGACTATTTATTATCAACGTGCGAAGATTCAAAACCTGCAGAGTTTAATTTGCAGAATACACTTTTGAATATGATTCACAAGTTACATTCACTATCCTAAATATACAGACATGAAACTTCATAGGTATTACAATCGGGGCAAGGAATTTCATGCATGTGCTTTATTTTGCCAAATGCCAGGTAAGGTTGTAGAAATAAGGGTCACATGCTGAATCACCCTGCACTAGATACTGTAAGTATTGTGGCAGTACTCTAGTGTGGTGCCCAGTGTGCGATACAACTGTGTATCAGCGAGAACATTTTTTTGCAACTGTGTATGGTAGTGAGGGTGAACAACCTGACCAAAAAAAGGCATTCATTTGCAAGGTTGTCCTTCGATCAAAAATAATAATGCATCACACTGTTGATAATTATTCCCACAAATTATCTCTGCAATGAATATTTTGCAGACCAGTTGTCAAAGTCATTCTTATTCTAAAAGGATTCTGAGAATAATAATTTCCGGCAGCGCGCTTAGCACACTGGAAGTAGAATGGCTAATGAGCAGTTGCTTCATTTGCCCAGAGCAGGAACATGTGACATTCCCTACAGTGGCACTGTTACCCCTACCTATGAAGCAAGTATCCATACTTCCGTTTTTTTACCACATATGTGGTACTACGTAGCAGCATTGTTTCAGTCATAAATTTTGCGAGCTTGAGTTTTTTTTGTCTGGTTGGAGATCAAAACTTATTGCTTTTTTTGCTATAGAGTTTTCCTATCCTGATTAGGCAATAAAATAAATATTTGATTCAACTAAAACATTGTTTTTTATGGAAATTCGCTTAGAACCCTGAAATCCCATAATGCGATACACCTTCTACTTACTTTTTTTCCACGCTGCCCTGGACTACTGTACCGACAGCCTCTCCATGTTTCTTGCAACAGAGCATTTGCACTCCGTTTCTTACTTGAGCACCGACTGGTGCTTTATCGATGCGTATGACAGTTCTCAGGCTGCTTTGTTTCCTTTTATAATATGTGTGCCGTGGTGGCCAAGTGGTTACTGTGGTTAGCTTTTGACATGAAGAACCGCAAGAAGCCCATCTACTCTGCGATGTCAGTGCATGGTCGAAAACATCAGCTGGTCGATATTTCTGAAGTCCTCTATTGCGTGTTCTTTATTTACAATGATAACGTTATTTTCAGTTTGACATTCCAGATGTTAATATACATGGGTAACATTTTTCTAGTTACTATAATTGAACACCCAAACTGTGCAAGTACTATTGTTGCAAGAATACAATTAGATTTCATTACTTGGTAATGCCTGGTGTAAGCACAGCAGCCCATCATCTGCACTATGTGTGTACACTCTCAACCTTATGCAAGGCAAGCAAACACATTTAGCAGAGGGTATTGAATTAACATAAGCAGGTACCTTCCTCCTTCATGTGTCATCTTCACTGCTCTACCTGTGATAAAAGTTATACCCAGCAATGCTATGCCCCGAAGAAGTTCTACACTTGATGTGTCTCATTATAACTCTTCTGTGTCTACCTTCTGTGGATTTCTGCAGGTATATCTGTTGCAAATATCTCTACCCTTGGGAACGTTCTTACAGTTGATACGCAATAATCTATTCATTCAATGATAATCTTAGTACCATGCGACAATGTCATAAAATATAAGCATGCTCATTTCGCAGCATCCGAATAAGCCTATGAGACTCGGAAAGATATTTTATCACGCGAGTCTTCTTGGTCATACGTAGTGTTTGCCTCTACTGCATATGGATGATCCTAAAGCGATGCGTGAAGTACGAGGAATGCCATGTAAACTGTTTCACCCACTGCTCGGCCATATTTCAAGCGTTCATATCTGGTGCATAAGTATTGAACTCAATGCCAGAAAATAACGAAGAACTCTCTTTTCGTTTTGATACACGCAAACCAGTGACAAATATTGACACAGTGAAGATGGCAACATCAATGGTGCGAAGAATTCGCGAGGCCTTCCGGACAGCTCTGAACACTTCGAGTTGGGTGACAGGCGTCGCGCGGGAAGTTGCAATCGAGAAGATCAGCAACATGCAGTCCCACCTCGGAAGTCCTGGCCAGCGGCTCGACCCTGCTAAGATAGATGACTATTACGGTAAGGAGTTAAATCAAAATAACTATCCTGTGATTCATGTGGCGAAACTCAACAAAACTTCTTAAAAGAGTCATTCCAATTCTGGGTGCGTATAATTGACCTCCCACTTTAAGTACACCGAGAGACGGCTGTGGGTCATAAACCCTATAGGTATGGCGGTAAATTATTTTGGCAGTGTTTAGTTAGTCGCAACTAAATTCATTTTGATATCACCATTTCAGTTCAGTTTGGTTATACTCACTCTATCACTATGTCCTGTAGGCTGGTCTTCTGTTGCAAAATATATACACATTGCTGTGTCATACTGTGTTACATACCATAGAAAAGAGCAGTGTATTATTAACGTGAAATTCAGACAGCATATTTGAGCTATATTTTCTGTTTGTGCAATATGGAGGGACAGCAAAAGCGAAATACTATGATAGCACACGGCGATTTTGAAGGTGCACTCTGCAGTTCCATTTCGCAGTTTAAAAGTCTGAATACGTGAATTAGCAGCCTGGTATTGTTCGGGAATACGTGCATTTTCGATGTTGAACAACGGAAGTATTGCCACTCTAGCGGGAACGTCAATTTCTTGGCAGAATACAAATTATTAAGCGCATATTAGAGGACATGACACAGGAGTTGCGTTGTGCTTTTTTGTCCTCACGTCTCACTGCATCCACTTCGCACGTGCAAATATGTTTATTGTTTATACTAAGTTACTAAGTAAAGTCATCAGCATACCGAACTACTGTTCTTTGATATGCAAGATCAAGAAGACCATCACCGCGCATATATATATATATATATATATATATATATATATATATATATATATATATATATATATATATATATATATATATATGGAAACGTATACGCTTCTCTAAAACTGTTTATTTGTCAAACATTCGGTCTTCGTGAATTGAGGTATTCAGACCGATCTTCCCGAAGACATGAAGTACCAGGCTTCAGCGCGCTTTTAAATATCTATTCTCCGGATCCAAGAGAGAGAGAAAAAAGGTTAAATGTTTGAAAGGAATCAAGGGAAAGATTGTCAAACGAGTCACCGAAAGAACACGCGCACAAACTTAGGCACACGCACAACGCACGTTTTCTTCAAAAACCAAATAAACAAATAGATAAAGGTGAACAAAAATAATTCTGGATATACATATATGGTTTTGGTTGACCAAATAAGTACATTATTTCCGTCCATTGTCACGCCTTTTTCTGCTTCCCCGTCCTCATTTGGTGGCGAAGCCTATAGCTAGGAGGTGAAGATTCACAAGAAGTGATAAAGGCTAAAAAAAAGGATTCAACGGTATAAACGCGCAGTTCAGACACGTGAAAAGTTTAGGATATAGGTGAAGTCTGGTCAAAAGTCCTCAGGGCGCTCTTTTACAGCAATTCATGGGATAGTGGCCTGCGAAGTTTTAATTGTCCCCCACCCTCCTTCATAAGGTCAATGAAAAGCAGATAGCTACAAACCACGGCTTGTCACTCAAGATGTTTTAAAATAAACTGCAGAATACCCTTCAGATTTCTGACAGGGGGTTAAATTTTTCAGTCGCTTGAGCGTCGGAGCAGTGGTGTCATTTTAAGTGGAAATATTCGAAAGCTAGCCCATGCTTTCTCAGAATTTGTTTAGGATGTTGCATGTACGACACCATGCTCCTGGCGATACCTAATAATAATTAAAAAGAGAGCTTTCGTAAAGATTTCCAATATCTTAACGCATATAAAATAGAAACTGAAGACAGTATGACCTGACTGGACTTCAGTTCAGCCTTGAAAGCTATACATTGTTCAATGATACGGCATTCTAGCTTTTGACGCTTCTTTTTACCGCAGAAACTGCGTGCTAAGAGTACAAACTTGGTGGAATCAAGTGGGCGAGTTTAGCAATATACATGCCGATACAGAGGAAGCCCCGAAAGCAAATCAGCCTATACATATATATGATTATTCCTTTCTGGGTCTGCCTTTATCTCGACCTGACATGTGCATGCGTTTAGTAATTTTTTCGTTTAGTAATTAGGCGTTTGTTAATTTCTTTGGCGTGTCCATGGCGCAGTGGCTAGTAGACGACAACACCCTGTTCAATACATGGCAAATTCATTTGAAATAAATTCTACAGATTCAGTGCCGGATGTGGATACGGAAAGGTTTTTCGAAGCGTATAGAGCCGCTCTACAAGCTTCGGCCCATCGACCATGGAAAGACCCGAGGACATTCATCTTCGACGAAACTGTACCAAATGCTTTCTATAGGGCCAATATCAACAATCTCATTGTATCCGCAACATTGCTTCAGCATCCATTTTTCAATTTCGAAGGTCCTGCTGCTTTGAACTACGGAGGCATTGGCATGGTGAGTAGCATGTGATGCATACGCGTAATATGAGAATAGGATTGAAAATGCAGAGGTATACCTGAGAAAGAAAGAAAATTTGCTGAGCTGCTCTGGAGTCAATCCAGGTACGTCTCTCTCGGTTTTCTCAACTTTCACCAATCAGGTTTCACATCTTGTTCCACAGACCGTGCCCTCCGGTGATTCAGTTGATAGGCTAACGGTCAAAAGAGTTGCGGCTCGCGGCCTGTGATACCTGTGGGTTGCGGCACTGGTGACCATCGGTAGTGAGTCCAGATACTCGGTGTATAAGATTAGTCAGGTGGTCGAAAACTTGAAACCAGCTTGAGTGGCGGGCCGAAAACTGCTGATACAAACCCCGCTTGTGAACCATTTATAACCAGACCCCCTTTTGTGTAAGCGCACCCTTTTAATTGCAAAGCATTTCTTAGCGAACTTCGGCGACTTTGAGCGTATCTATCTATCTATCTATCTATCTATCTATCTATCTATCTATCTATCTATCTATCTATCTATCTATCTATCTATCTATCTATCTATCTATCTATCTATCTATCTATCTATCTATCTATCTATCTATCTATCCATCCATCTATCCATCCTATCCTCCATCCATCATCCTATCCATCATCCATCCATCCATCCAGCCATCCACTTTAGCTCTCCTGGTCGTTTCGATAATGGTATCGATACCAAACTTGGTATGGCATGGAATGACTGTACGAAAAACAAATTTAAGTTGCCATAACATGAAAACTATGACATGAATGTGATGAATGTCATGATTTAAATTTCATTGTTCTGCAGCTCTTGCGGTGATTTTGTTCGCATTGCATGTTCCAAAAGTGGTATCGTATGGCATGATTGCATGGCGCACACAAGCGACAGACCCTAACTTGATAATATTGAGATGCGTGTGATATAAAAACATGACTACATGCCACGTTCATCATAAGCTGGCGGCCGTTTCGCTAGCTTTACTTATACCACATTTAGCATTACGGGACGTTAATGGATGACGAAAGTATGATACTGGTGCAAACATGAAAAACATAAGATGCGTGTCATGTAACAACATGACTACAAGCTACGCTCATGATGCGCTCGCGGCCGTTTCGCTAGCTTCACATTTACCAAACTCGGTATTACATGACGCGAAAGGACAACATAGGTAAAGGACACATCCAAACATAATAATCACGACATGCGTGTCATGTCACAACATGACTACAAGTCACACTGTTGATGCGCTCGCGGCCGTTTCACTAGCTTCACATATGCCAAATTTGGTACTACTCGACACCAATGGATGACGAAGGTATGTGATTGGTACAAACTTGATAATCACAAGATTCGTGTCATGTGAGAACATGACTACATGCCACAGTCAAGACGCCAATAAATTTCGACATGACGCAGTGCGCGTGCTCGCCAGAGGTCATTTCGTCGCATCACGCCGGCGTTGCCACGCCAGGCGCCGGTCCTGCCATATACTCGCAGGCGCGTCCGCGCTGCATTGCTTTGAGGCATGCGTGTTTCAGTGCGTCCGGCGTCCTTCCGTCACAAAAAGAGGGAGACGCAGTGTGGTCTGGGTAACGCATCGGTGCGAAATGCAGTATGTCGCCTTTCGCACCAGTTGCCGTAGGGCCGCGCAGACGGACGCTAGTCGTGCCTGGCATCAGATTATAAAGTGCTCGCGTTTTGCTAACGTGACGTCGCTGTGTCCAGCGTGCGCGCGTGTCAATGCTACATTGGAGTATATTAGGCCCTTCATGATTCTTTCGCGGCCGTTTTCCTAGCTCCACATATACAAAAGTTGGTGTTACGTGACGTCCATGGATGACAAAGGTAAATGACACAGCCAAACATGATAATTATGACACGGAAGTCATGAACGGCATAATTTACCTCTACCTCGTAACGCTGTGCTGATTTTAAAGTAACATATCAACATTTCTCATTCGTGTTTCGGATGTCATCAATTCCCACTGTTTGTGGGATCTGACAATTTTTGCTTAAGAAACGTAGAAATGGCGGCCGTCGTAACAGGTCCGAGAGCGCTGTCTAGATGGCGTAGCTCTGAGGTGTGCGGCGCGACGGGCTATCGCAAAATAATGAGCGCTGCATAGTGACTCGGTCATTGATGGTATGCTTTCACATCCAGCTTGAAAAGCGGAACAGTTTCGAGAAAGCTTCAATTGACACGCGCATAACGCACAGAAGAAGTCGGGGTATCCTGTCGGCTCACGCGTCTTTGTGTTGTACGCATATATGATTGAGAAGTGTACCTTGTACACTTTATTTTTCTTGTACTCAACGTAAATTGATAGTATCCTTGTTAGAGTCCTGTGGGTACCTAAAGGGACAGTAAAGTCAAACAAACATTTACGTCAGAGTGAAAACTGAATGTATGAAAACACCTAAAATGACAATATTATCAACAACAGTGCTCCAGTTACCGAGAAATTAAAGTAAATGCACAAGAACACAAGCGCCGCAGTAGGACAATTTCAAAATGGTCCCGATGACATCAGACGGACCACCTACAATTAATCACTAGTAATCGATCTGACTGCACTAAATAAAGAACGTTCCGTACATTAAAAGACGCAATAAAATGCTGCTTGTTTGTTTCTGGTTGATTCATGGAAAAAGGAAGCGCTGGACGCTACAACGGGAAATGGCACGACTGATTCAAAAATTAACTTTCGCATGGTTACACGGAACAAGTGGTGCCATCTAGTGGGCGCAGTGGAAAGAAAAACGTCTGTATTTTTGAAACGTATGGCGGGAAATTGATCGATGGCTGTCGTTGCAGGTGTGGCTCCCACTGCTTTCAGTCTGCTGCTACTAGAGCTGTTAAGCCGGGAAATGTTGCGCATGGCAACAGTGGCGTGAGACGGTCTGGTCGGTCCGCTTCTTGAGGCGGGTAATTTGAAGTGTGCTAACCCGATGTGGAGCACTAAAACAAGATTTTATTAAAAAATAAGCTCTTCCTTAGCACATAAGTACACTACGAAGTTTCTGGTCCGCCATTTCAACGTCAACGTCGAATTAATCGTTATCTTTAGTGTACCTTTAAGAAACATTTGGTGACGGGCGACAACGTATGTTACGAAGAAGCTGGCAGGCGAACAAAACCTGAGTTTATTCAACGGCTCAGCGGTACTAACGTCCTCGATGGTTAATTAGTTCTAGAGGACCGGCGGCCAGAATGGCTTGCAAGGCTGCTGAAGTATGTATTTTTGTGATTTTAGTGTATGTCATTAAGAGGTCAGTGCTTATGAGGACCCATAAATTTGTACTCGTTGCATACGCGTATCGGCGTCCTAGGTGGACACGAAAAATCTGGAAGCGAGAGTTTGGAGGTGTACAACATGAAGAAGGGCGGGTGGCATATTAGTGAAACGCTTTTGACGTTCAAACTGTATGCAACCCGCTGAGCTATTTTCGTGTGGCGTCGCGTTTAGGGTAAATATAAGCCTCAGAATGTAGTATCTCAAACCATAAAATGTAAAGAGCGTTGAACTTTAATAAACAGCTTCATGGGTGCCCTGGAGAGAACACTTCTCGTGTAAAGGCTGTGGTAATATATAAAAGACCTTCGGTTTGTGTTGTCATTCGCACAGGCTATTAGATTATCTCAAGAACTGTCCTCGTGTCGGTGCGAGGGTCGTTGGCCCGAGGAGCGAGTGTATTTCAAAAACAATATTACAGCGTTTTCTGAAGCAAAGGGTCCTAAGCACTCTCATTTGTTTGAGCTGCGATTTCTTTGCTAACAGCGAGGGCTCTTAGCGTGTCTTTCTCCCTATGTATCTACCAAGCCCCCCCCCAAGTGTAAATGCCCTCGTGATCTTTCGCTCAACTTAGGAGTAAACCAAAATTAGTAGGGGAGGATCAGATGGTTCAACGAAAATGACTGGTTGATCATGGCATGAGTTATCTGAAAATGCCATCACTTACCTCGTCACGTCTTTCCCGCCAGACACGAGTGAATCATGACCATGTACTAAAGGCCGGTGTGTGCCACAGGTTTGCGGGTACGCGCCACAAGTGTCTGATGGTTTACACCTGCAGTGGAACAGCAAGAACACGTATTGGTAGTTGAAATGCATAGCGTTAGGCTAAACTAGCATCGACACTGTTGACCCAATGAGTGCAAGAAATATTCCCAGCTGAAATCAAACCCAAGTATTCTGTGTTGCAATCAGGTATTCTACCACTGGGCCATGCCAGGTCGCGAAATGGCTTTGAAAATATACCTGACGCAAGTGGTATGTTCCTAAAACTTCAGTTCTGTTTGCAGTGCTAGATATTTTGTAACCATCACATATGTACTTCTATTATACAGCCGTCATGTTGGGTCGCCGTCAGTTCTAGTACAGCGCATTCCACTGAAGTTGAGTTATGTAGCGGTATAGTGGGCTACCATCCTCGCGAGCACACACCCTACATTTCATCCAACTGCTTCTGACGCTGCTAATACCCTGTTGCTGTTCGCATTAAAACGCAACAGTAACCTGATTATCTAAATCATATGAGATTATTCAACATACGTTAATGCATGTGAGATGTGTACATATCTAGGACATTATTTTGTAACTTTTCGCTCAGTATAAAGATTGGAACACAGTCACCTTCCCTCCGCGTGCTCTGCATAAGAAGTACTCGGTGTACGCGGGATGTGCCATTTATTTTTTTTTTTAGTACGCGCCTACCGCTTTATGTATGTGGTAACGTTTCCAGGAGGATATGTGAGTTGGTAGTTATATAAGCAGATGTTGGTTATACATCTTCTACCGTATAAATTTATAGTTAAAATTACAATAGCCTTGACGGATCACGTTTTCAATTGCTTTTGTATTACAGATAATTGCCCACGAAATGATGCACGGTTACGACATGGATGGAATCAACTATGGTGCGGATGGCACGCCGCAAGAATGGGTAACACCCGAGTTTCTAGAAAAGTACACGGAAAGGACGCTTTGCTTGAGAGAGTCGCACAAAGCTGCAGTGAGTGTGTGTTTCTTCGCTTGGTAGGCTAACGTGAATGTACCTTCCAGCAATTTCGAAAAAAAAATTTAGAGCGCGCATGCTTGAGACAGTGGTATTATTGATGGCAAATACATATACCATTGCAGCATTTGACTCGTTCCAGTAGCAAACACTGGTTCAACACTGTGTGCTTAGCGCCTCCCCAGGTTTGTCTCGTGTAACTCGGTGATGAGCGCCAGTGTCAACGCCACTCTCAGTGTCACTGTTAGCACTAGCACAAGCTCATGATAAAGTAAACCGTCCCCCGCTCAATGGAACCATCTCCTCACTGCTTCGCATCCACGCATGGTTTCCTTAAGCGGGAGATAGTTTAATGTTTTTAATGGGCTTGTTTGACACTTGGCGAAATCTGCGCTGTTATTGCCTCATAATTATAAACAGTCAACTAGGTTGAGAACTGTTGCTAAAACAGTATTTACATGAAAGAGTTTGCAGTTTATTTACTAGGAATGATCAATAAATGCGACAGCATCATAATAGATTCAAACTTTGCATTGAGGGCGTGGGTGCAGGTGTCAATGTTTCGACCAGCCTACTTTAAATGTTGAAGTCTGTAACTGATTTTTTAGCACTTGTGCGTATATGCTTTGTCCCCTCCCGTTTCTAAGCCAATTAGGCGCAGAGACCGGCTAAAAATTTGAGTGAGTTTGAAGGAGATGCCACCATGACTAATTGGTTGAGTGAACAAGAGCTGTATCGTAAGGCAAGAACAAAGGCGCTACATGTTCTTTCAATTATGGTTTTTTATGGCTTTCATTATGTGTGTACGTTATGGTGTGATGTGAAAAGCCCCTTCTGATTCTCCGGTTAACCTTCTCTGTTTGACTGAAGGACATAAAGTTTGAGATCGTGAAGATGTGACCTGGTACGTTAAAATGTTGTGCCACTGCTTCAGGCAATTTTTCGTCAATATGGTTGATTGGGCGAGTTGGTGATTCATGACCGTTTTGAAGCGCTTGTTCCTGTCTTTCTGTCCGCGTCTAAGTAGTGCGCTCTCATTTCAATTTTTTCGCCATGGCTAAGCGATGCCCGTATTACTTCGCATACACATGATTTCCCCATTTACTAGTCTATGCGATTTGTGACAATATAAACATTTGGTTTATATGATGTACGTGTTCATTTTCGGTGCTTTCAACCTTAACCTTATCAATGGTTAACCCTAATTATGGCATGACTGCATGGTGAACACAAGCGACAGGCCCCGACATCAAAATTATTAAATGCGTGTCATGTAACAACATAACTACATGCCACGCTCAGGATGTGCCGGCGGCCGTTTCGTTAGCTTCACTTATACCAAAATAGGTATTACGGATCGTGAATGAATGACGAAAGTATGTGACTGATGCAAACATGATAATCACGAGATGCGTGTCATGTAACAAGATGACTACGTGGCACGCTCATGATGCGCTCACGGCCGTGTCGCTAGCTTCACATATACCAGGTTTGGTATTACGGGTATTGAATGGATGAAGAAGGTATGTGACTAGTGCAAACGTGATAATCATAAGATGCGTGTCATGTAACAACATGACTACATGCCACACTCATGACGCCCTCGTGGCCGTTTCGCTAGCTTCACATATGGTATAACGTCACGTGAACGGATGACGAAGGTAGGTGACTGGTGCAAACGGGATAATCATGAGGTGCGTGTCATGTGAGAAGATGACTACATGCCACAGTGAAGGCGCCAATACATTTCGATGTGACGCGGTGCGCGTGCCAGCAAGCGTTAATTTCGTCGCGTCACGCCGGCTTTGCCAGCCCAGGCGCCGCTCCTGCCATATACAGGCAGGCGCGCGCCGCGCTGCGTTGCTTTGACGCATCCGCGTTTCAGCGCGTCCGGCGTCACTCTGTCACGAAGAGAGAGAGACGCAGTGTTGTCTGGGTAATGCGTCGGCGTGAAATGCAGCATTTCACATTTTGCGCTGGTTGCTGTTGGGCCGCGCTGACGGACGCTGGTCGCACCTGGCATCAGACTATAGAGTGCTCGCGTTTTGATATAACGTAGCGTCGCTGTGCCCAGCGTGCGGGTCTGTCAACGCTACATTGGAGTATTTGGGCCCTTCATGGTTCTCTTGCGGCCATTTTGCTAGCTCCACATGTACCAATTTTGATGTTACGTGAGGCCCATGGATGACAAAATATATGAATGGTGCAAACATGATAATCCTGACGCGCTTGCCATGTAGAAACTTGACTACATACCACGCTCATAGCGTGCTAGCTGCCGTTTCGCTAGCTCCACATATACTAAAATTGGTATCACGTGAATAGATGACGAAGGTACACGACACATCCAGACATAATCATCAGGACACGGAAGTCGTATACGGTATCATTTACCTCCACCTCGTAACGTTGTGCTGATTCTAAAGTGACATATCAGCATTTCTCATTCGTGCTTCGCATGTCATCTATTTCCACTGTCGCGTTGGGTCTGCCAACTTTTTATGAAACCTTCGCAGTTGACGACGAGAGCCCGTCAGGTTGTGCTCAACGACATCATCGACTCGGAGAACTTGGCCGATTTTGTTGGCACTGCAGTTTCTTACGCGGCCTTCACTTCCTTACCGCCTGTTGAACGGGATGTGACGCTTCCGGGCGTCAACCTTACTGCCGAGCGTCTCTTCTTTATTGGCTATTGCAGCAAGTTGTGTGCGAGCCGGTATGTGTTTAACGAAAGGTACGCCCCAGACCCCTCCCGCTGCATTGTGCCAATCATGAACATGGCCGAATTCTCGGACGCTTTCGGATGTGCACCAGGCTCTCGCATGAACCCGTCTAAGAAGTGCGCCTTCTGGCCATGAAGACATCTTTTGTGTCTGTTACGGTGGTTTTGATTTTCTTTTTCCAAATATATATTTTGTAAATTCGATGTCACTAACGCGAAAACCTAAATTACTATGACCCAGACGTGGTCATGTGACGTGAAATTTGGTAAACAGTGGGTGGTATACCGGCTGCCGATGTTCGGACAAGCGGGCTTTTCTTTTCTTCTTTAATTTTTATTACTGTGCTGTGACACCGTTTGCTTCCGCCTATTCACCTAACAATGCCCAAAAAAGAGAAAAGGCATGCAGCACGAAAAACCCGAAAGCGCACTTACTCCCCCTTGACTTTCGCAGGTGTGGTGTCGCTAGATAGAACAAGAGTGTTCGTCAAATGACTATTGTCTTATTTGCAAGCATGAACACTCCTTTAGCAGGTTCAGCAAGTTTGGTCCACCACTAAGTAGTGGTGTGAAAAGTAGGTTGTAGTAAAGCTCATTTTGAAGGCGCATTCCGTACCTTGAAACTGGCAATAATACCAGCACAGACATCATCAATCATTTGAGAAGCGTGGCATCCGCTAAACACTTGCAACAAACTTTGTGTTGCATTCAGTGGCGGACAGCGATGAACAATAACGCATGAAGTGGGAATGTGCCACAGTTAATGAGCGATGAAGAACAAGCTATTGTAATCTGTTGGAGCATTGGACTACCCACTCGTTACGCAGTTCGCATTGTGTGATGCTTGGTTGTATTTTTGTGGTTCTAATGTGCTTTATTAAGGTAAGCTTGCGAACGGCATGTTCGAGGCATGTTTTCGATTGAATCCTAAGCACCAGCGTGCTCAGTGGTAGAATACTGGGGTGGCTCACAGTGGACGCGAGCTGAATTTCACTATGTCAGCACATGTCTTCGGTCTTCTTTATTTGAGTTTCTTTTTTTTATTTTATGCAATAGTGGTTACGCACACTAGTAGTGGCGGTGGACAACCACGATGCTGCGCGTGAACCATGTTGTGATCTCATACCAATTTTACTGTAAAATGGCTGCTAGCGCGCTCTACACAAACGGGGCCACGGCTAAACTCCTGGTAACAATAGAAACCTCTCTGCTCGGAACTTTTGCGGAAATATATTCTAGGATGGGGGCGTTCGGGGGCGGGCACAGGTTGTATTTATTTTAGGCTCTGACCAACTGCTTATAGGCCACTGTGCGTCGGCTTGTTTTATTTGTATAGTGGCTAGAAGACCATGAAGACACTGGCTTCGATGATTGGGTGTGGTTCCACGAATAAGAAAGGTAGCTGCTTTGTTAGGGGCCAAGAGTGAAAAAAAGTATAGCATTCCCTGTGGTAGATAAAAGCGTAAAAATTATTGACTATATTTGGAACATCCCATGAAATTGAGGGCAAGAAATTCGGCAGACTTTACCCATTGTGAGAATCGATTCCGTGTGACACAGTCGGTGAGTGATTATCTGTTTCGCATTTTCTAGTCTTTGACCGAAGTGTTACAAGGTTGATCAAGCCGTTTTAAATGTATGATGTTGTGTGTACATTTCGGGATTACCTGGAAAGAAGACTGCAGTAGCACGTAAAGAATAAGTTATGCAGTCATGTAACGTCAGCAGCCTCAGTGTAGCGCAGACATAGCTATTGTTTTTTTATGTGCACTTTACAGAGTGGAGATGCAAATATCATAGGCATATTTCGTAGGCCTACTGGACTAGCTAGAGCAACTTGAACACCAACTGGTGAATCACGAGAATGCACGTGCGATAGTTATTAGACTTTTATTAAAGCAGTGCCTACACTGGAACTACATTTCTCCTTTATTGATTTGTTGTAAAAAGAGATGCAAACATAGTTGATGCACCAACATTAGGTGTACATGGGACGGTTTCTCAAAGCAGTTTAAAGGCATGACGTCGCTTTGAAGTAGTGTACCGTACGCCAAAGAGAACAATTGTTTTCTGCATGGAAGAATCCTTGCTTTAATTTTTTATTCTTCTTCCTAGTCTCATTTTGATTCTTTTTATTGGTCGAGTCAAAACGTCAGCCTTTTCTTAATTTTTGTTTAAGTTATGAACATCTGTTCTAGCTGTTCCTGCAATCTCGAGCATGTAATTGTACAGGTATGCGCTTATAACATCAATAATTGATAGGGCAGTTGTGTTTGGGGCACGCGAATGATGGACAGTTGGCAGAAGGTGCCCGAAAAAAAGGTAAGTTAATGAAAAGAGGCTGCCCAGACGCAGACTAAGCCGTCCTCCTGGGAACGTGTCTTTCTCGTCACACTCCGAGAGCCTTTGTTCACAGCACCTTGAGCTGGGGAGTCACCCGCACGCCAGTAGCGCTCTCACGGTGAGCCATACTGAGAAACGAGTGGCCGCTGTCGCAACACGGCTCCCTACCAGATAATGTGGTGCCATGCTGTAACAATACTTGTGGATATATGGTAGAACAGTGTGTACTAACGCCAGATAGACGACCGGCCGTATAGACAGGCTTCTTGTTGTGCGAAAGTATCATTTAAGCTGTACGTCGATGAAATGACGTAGTTGTTCTCAGCTGATTCTCGGAGGATAGCAATGTGTGGGAGCGCAGTAGCGGAGAACCATCTCCGAGGAATAGACAGTTGTTTGCTCCATTGGTGGAGCATCGAGTAGAAGGTATTCATTGAGCTATACGTTGATGAAATGATGGAGTTCGGGGGATGCTCGGTTGATAGCAAAGTCAATTTTCGGAAGATAGCAGTGCCAGAATGCAGAGGCGGAATTCCATCTCTGAGGAAAGGGCAGTTGTTTGCTCCATTGGTGGAGCATTGAGTAGGAGTTCGTCCCACGAGGCTGTCTCAGATGAGACGGGAGGTATTTAATGAAGAGAAATGAAGAGAAGGGGAGCTTGGTGCTCGAGAACAAGATCGGGAAGCGGGGACAGAGGTCGTGCTTAGCGCAGACTCTGATCCATGGTTGATACTACGTTGAGAGGGACAGAGTTAGTGCTTAGCGCTGACTCTGATCCTAGTTTGATACTACATCGAGAAGTTGGTGTCGATTTTTGGGAACACGAAGAGCTTGGCAATTAACGCTGACGTTAATAATAATATTACAGGCCAGTGCTTACTGTGCAGTTGGTTTAGTTTCCACCCCGGCCTTTGTTTGTAAATAAGTGTCAGTGTGTATATAAACCGAAGTTTGTCAGGAAGTCAGCAAGCAGTCCAGTCCTTCAACGTGTCGTCGTGATCGTCTGAACCGTCGGGATCACATCCATCATCCCAACCTTAACTGGTGCAGTCGACAGGATCTCGCGGCGGCTTCCTGAAGGACAATGAAACATGCTGCCTTTCTGGCACACACACACACACCGAAAGCCAAAAGTGAGGGTGAAAGAAGATCATCAGGCAGCGTCAGAGCAGACATGAAAATATGAAGTTCAAGAAATCTTAAGTCGGTGCAACACTGACCGTGGCGATTAGCTGAGGCAGAATTGAGAGTGACAACTTCTTACGCTCGGACATCGCTCCTAGACTACAAGTTGTGCATTGATGTTCTCTCAAAATTTTTATTATTATAAATATAGATATTACATGTGCCTATATACACACAACTACGAAGTTTTTATTTTCAAGGACCTTTCGACCACAGCTATCTTTCCTCTTTTGTCGCTTCAAAAAACACTCCTACCGTGCACCATAAGTCACTGTCAAGCCACAAATTTCTCTGCGTCTCTTTTTCCTTTCCTCATCTGTTAACGCTAGCGTGTCACCTACCTCCAACCCGCCTTTTTTCATTTTTTCCTTTCTTTCTGTGTTTCGTTGATGCTCAACTCCTTTGCATTCTGAATTTCCTATTTCTCTGCCAACATGCCGCCAAATTCTTGAGGCAATTCTGTTGAGCGGGCACCTACGGGGATAGCGAAAGCATATTTTAACCAATGACTTCCCAATTAAACACATTGTCTTCCGAACACATCTGGTGTCGCTTACTTTTGACATCTTAGCATTTAAAGGTAGCCGCCTGCTTCTCTCTTGCGCTTTTTTTAACCGCTTTCTTATGAGTCCCATTCATACATGTTCGAGAACAGCATAGGCCTTTATCGTCGGCAACCCTTTGTGATGGCCAAACGCGGGGACCGTCTGCTGGCTTCGAATTTTCAAGCTCTTTGCTTTTTCGTGTCTGTAGCAGCAGCACACCGCTCCTACTTTGCGTGTTTCCCCTTTTTTGCTTCCATTTTTTTCTCTACCCTCCGAGAACATTGTGAATTGCTACCAGCCAACTTGAAATGAAGTGAGGACTGCACTTGTTTGCTTTCTAGTTTTTTTTTCGGTGGCAATTGCCAAGAAAGACACGCACCACCACCAGGAGATGACGTCTCTACTAACCCCCTTAAAGCTAACATGCCAAGGATGAGACACTTTTGACGAACATAAGTCCTCCTATCGAAACATCAACCAGCCTATCTGAGGAACTTCCACTGTTCACCCAGACTATCCCACTCTTGACAACAGTTTTTTCTGATCCTAAGGCAGTTTTCAAAGCATTCGAAACACTAAGGGCTGTTTATATAAGCTCTCCACACACAATTTAGCCATCTGATGTACAATATGCAAAGTATATCAGAGTGATTGTTCGGCTTTACACTCTTACAGAGTATAAACGAAGGAAAATTCGTAACCTCATATGTAACTCAGAATACATGCAACAATCATTACCTCTTGCAAAAAATTAGGAATGTAGTAAGCACCAGCACACACTTCGCAGAGCTGCTCAGAAATGCATCTTGATAAAATAGTTAAATATTGCAGTAATTTATGAATGCAAAAACACAACACCAGTGCACTAGTAGAGATGCCTGGTTGGCAACAAACTGCTGTACTTAGGATGCATCATGGTAGCAAGACCACAGCCCACAATTAATATACGCTTCAAGTAACCCTTGACTGCTAAACTGAAGGCCACAAAATCAAACCATGGCTGTGGTGGCTGCAATTTCGATTAAGGAGGAAATGCATGACACCTGCCTGCTTAGACGTGGATGCATTTAAAGAACCCCAGGTGGTCAAAATATCTTAAACCCTCTACTCCACTGTCCCTGATAATTATAT